GCTCTCCTTGGGATACGTGCCCCAAAGTAAAAATAAGATTTAAATTTGTCGCCACTTTAATTAATATCTTCACAGTTGTCGATGTAAAAACAGTATTCCGAATATGTTTATGCATTTTCGAACCTCGGCCGCCATAAACCCTAAATCTTCCGATAATTTAGGGACACCATTCATGTATTGTTTGCATGTTCAGACGGACAGACAGTCACTCGGAATTCAACTCCTCTTGTCACCCTGATCATTTATACTATATACATAACCATATATCTATTTCAATTAGATTTAAATGATACAAATAACCGTAAGGGCAACAATTTTATTATACTATATACTATGTTGCGATCAATGTTTTGGGCAAGAATTTTACATTCGCTATTCGACGAAGCTTTAAAATAATTGGTATGTTATATTATGGGTAATAAACTCGGTAATATTTATCATATGATTTGCTTCGCGTCCGGAATATTTACATACATACATATATTTAACATAGCTAATTGAAGTGAGATATAATATATTAAATTAACCCAACAAAAGATGTTAAATTTAAATGCATAAATGCACAAAGTAAATTCTTAAAAAATGTTTGACACCAATTTTTTTAAATCAACGATTTTTTAATACCAGTTTTTGGTAAATATTGGAACGATCATAAATTAATAAATCTAAAGTACATTATGTTTCAACGTATTCAAACCATAAATTTCGCAAGTAATGTACATTTTAACACCTCCACCTGTTTGCTCGTATTAAAAGTTTATAGTGTTCGAAAATATACAAAATTGGCTGCGATAGCTTGACGACATTCTCTGATAAAATTGTATTTGGTATTCTGTTGTAGATTGGCAGCTGTACTCACTCAACTATAGGTAGGTTATGAAGAGTTAATGATATTAAATTGTACGTACATATACTTGATAACAAGTTTATGAAGATAACTCAGATATACATTGTTATATTCGCAATGAAGTCTGCTAGAACTATGGTAAATCAAATGAACTGGATTCACTTAATTTGGTAAGATATCGTACAAATTGACCGATGCATATGGTATGTCAGCTGAGTAAGCCGGACGTTTGAAAACTTAGTCCAATTTTCGTGATAGAATATCATTTTGTAGAGTAGTATAAGTAAGTTACAAGAGTAGACAAGGTTGTCAAGGAAACTTAACCTTTTACATCAAAGTGGTCGTGTAAACATGGGGTCGTAAAATATTGAAAGTGGACCGCATGAATTACTCCTGTCGTCATATCTACATGTGAACCGATAATGATTTCTTTATTCCTTTGAATGGTGTTCTCTGTTGATTTTCCTATCATATACTTAATTTATCAGAATGGCTCATTCGGCTGACTTGATTTCGCATAACTGTGAACATTCGGAAGTAAAATAAGAAAACATTTTATCTTTGACCGCAAATAAGCTGTAATACCCTTCATAGGCACATTTCTTATAGCTATTATGGAACCCTTTTTCATACTCTCGCAACAACAAAGTTGCTAAGGAGAGTATCATAGTTTTGTTCACATAACGGTTGTTTGTAAGTCCTAAAACTAGAAGAGTCAGATGTAGGGTTATATATACCAAAGTAATCACGATGATGAGTCGATTTGAAATCCGGATGTCTGTCAGTCCGTTCGCCCGTGCAAGCTGTAACTTGAGTAAAAATTGAGATATCATGATGAAACTTGGTACACGTATTTCTTGGCTTCATAAGAAGGTTCAGTTCGAAGATGGCTAAAATCGGCCCACTACCACGTCTACCAAATTGCGAAAACCGAAAATCTATAAAGTGTCATAACTAAGTCATAAATGAAGATATTGAAGTGAAATTTGGCACAAAGGATCGCATTAGGGAGGGCATATTTGAACGTAATTTTTTTGGAAAAGTGGGTGTGGCCCCACCCCCTATTAAGTTTTTTTTATATATGTTTCGGAAACTACTATAGCTATGTCAACCAAAGTCTATAGAATCGTTTTCTTCAGGCATTTCCATATACGAACTGTATAAAACAAATGGAAGAAATCGGATAATAACTACGCCCACCTCCCATGCAAAGGTTATGTTGAAAATCACTAAAAGTGCGTTGACCGACTAACAAAAAACGTCAGAAACACTACATTTTACGGAAGAAATTGCAGAAGGAAGCTGCACCCATTGTTTTTTTTAATTGAAAATGGGCGTGGAGTCACCCAGTTGTGGACCGAAAACCATATCTCAGTAACTACTCGACCGCTTTCAATGAAATTCAGTATATAACCACGCCTTCTTCCAATATAACGCTATTTTGAATTCCATCTGATGCCTTCTCTGTATATACATTAGAAACCAATGATGATAGCAAAATAAAACTTTACACAAATATTTGAGCTGCGGTATCCCTTGTGGAAAAATTGTCGTGATGGGACTATAACTTTTCAACGTCTCTAATATCGAACACGAAGAACTCAGTGCCTAACCTAACCTAACCTAATTTTTCACCGAAAATATCGGTAAAGCTCTCAAATATTTTCATGTAATTCAGAGGGCGTCATTTTATACTCTCGCAATAAAGTTGCTAATAACGGTATACATATATCGTCAGATATATGGTTACATATACCAAAGTGATCAGGGTGATGAGTAGAGTTGAAGTCCGGATGTCTGTCTATCCGTCCCTTACAAGCTGTAACTTGAGTAAAAATTGAGATGTCTTGATGAAACTTGTCATGCGAGAGTATAAAATGTTCGGTGACACACGAACTTAGCCCTTCCTTACTTGTTAGATAATTATTTCGGACACAAATAAAATTGAAGTAAATTAATCCTTTCCTTATTAGTTATTAAAAGTTTAAATTTGAAATATAACTTTTTACACGTACTAATCACCTTACTCTTAATCGATATACTGCTGTTCGCCTTTTAGTTGACTTCGTACCACACTAATCCCTTAATATGGCAACATATATCTAGAGAATGCTGAGGGAGACAATCAAAATTAAACTAAGTTATTGACGAAGTAAACAATTTGTATCCTGCGTTGGTAAATCATTCTTTGCAAAATTTGTATACTCTCGCACCATGTTGCTACAAAGTATAATAGTATAGTGGTTTGTACCACCTAAAACCAATTAAAATAGATATATAGTTAAATATTATAACTAACAAGACGAGTTAAATATGGAGTGAATATCTGTCCCTCTGTCTGTTCGCGCAAGCGATAACTTAAAAAAAAAAAATCATGATCAAAATTGGTACATATGTATATTCCTTGACACGCAAGGAAACTTGTTATTGTAAACTATAATTTGAATTACAATATTATAAATGCGGGCATTGGAGTTTGAATTTGTATCTGCCATTTAAAGCTGTTAAAAAATAGCCGTGTATACGTCTCTATGTTAACCACTCAACATATAACGGTTTTGTTGAAAATTCCTGACAATCATTCAAACGAAATTGGTCACGGAGAATTTATAATTTGAATATAGGATATACAATATTGTTGAGTACTACTTTTATTTTCAAAAACTATAGTCTCCTAGAGGCTATTGTTAGGGACAATTGACTAAATAGGACATTAAATAAACATTGAGTTTTACAGCTATTACATCATCATTTAAATTGTGCTCGAATATTTCTAAAAACTAGCAATTTTCTATTTATTTATTATTAGCTGCATAGTCAAAATTGCGGCAATATTACGATTCTTTTGGAGCCGTGATTTAATGGTACGGATGGATAGAGGAGGTTCTCAGAATTAAAAATATGTATAAACATAAACCCGCCTCAGTCTTATAATTTTCGAGATATTTGTATATAAAGTTCAAAAAATTGTAAAAGTAAAATACACGCTGTTTACTATGTTTACTCAAATTGCACATATTTTTCAATTAATATATTTTTAATTACATTGTACACATTGAAATATGTATATCTAAATTTTAAATTTATTGCGCATTTTTTTAGAAAATAAATATATTTTATAAACTATTTTGCGTTCCAACAGTTTCAAAAGATTTGTGACTTACACTTATGACAAGTATTAGTGTTGCCATATTTTGCTTTGTCAAAAAATAATAAAAAAAAATTTCTACTTATCATCTTTATTATTATCTAGTGCAGAAAGAAATTCGACAGAAAAAAACTCTGAACACCCCGGTGGTGGACCGCCAATTCATAAAAAAAATTATATCGCAAAATAATATAGAACTTATCTCTAATTATACAATTTTTATTTAACCATTGTTCCTTTATACATATATTAACAAAAAATTAGTTTTGATTAGTTTTTCACAACACAATATGGGGCAACATGGGTATTAGTCATGAATATAAACACACAAACTGCGAATGTTAACTTCCTATATGAAATTGTTGAACTTAATTGAATACAAATATCTCAAAAACCAGAAGTGTGCACCATAAAAAATATTAATAAAAAAGACAAATTTGCGATCAATGCCTACATGTTTCCTCTAACTGTTTTTCAATTGCCTACGATTTTAGTTTATCGAAAATGCAGACAGCACTTTTTTGAAATACTATTTTATTTTAAGCAATCATTGCACAAATTTCTTTAAAAATGCGTAAAATAAGCCAGAAGTAAATGTATCTAAATCGTTAAATTTAGTAAAAAGACACATCTGCTAAACGAGAATAACAGTTTTAATCCCAGATAATCTAAAACAACCCTTACTCACATAGAAATAATACGCTGACAACTGCTAAAATTGTGATAGCACATACAGTGTGAAATTGGTGGAATCCGATGATAACCGCGCTCATTACTCAGATAGCAGTTCTATTGAAAACTAATAAAAGCGCGTTACTCGACCAATTTTAACCAAGTTTAGTACATAAAGTTGTCTTTTCACATTTATGTGACGCCATTGCATTACATTTAAAACTTCACATACTTCATTGCAGTTTCATTGTTTTTCGTTTTTTTTTTTAAGTCATGTCCTTCCCTTAAATTCAAACTTCTTAAATTTTTAATAAATTTTAATATCATACTTACCGTTTATTTGAAACAGTTCAAAGAATGAAAGAGGTTCTGCTTCAAAGCAATTCCTTACTTTATATTTTATTAGCTTGTCTTTAATTCTGCCTAAGTTATAAAATTTTCAATACAAAACGTAACATACACACAATAACGTACAACTATTATTTTTACTCATGTAAGCAGTGTAATCAATCACACTTCAGTGCAACAGTTTTCCTTTCAAACAATTTAATAAATCATGTATGTATGTATATCGTCACTATCTCACTTGTAATACAATCGCGAAAATTTTAGCATAATTACTAAATCAAAATTGGACAATTGAATGTTTGTAGCTTTATAATAACTATTTTTCACTTTAATATGGATCAATATACATGTTTCGTATACATATTGATATATACGTACATTTACATAGTATATACGTTATCAAATTAGAAATAATCACACTTTCACTGAAATTGAGTTTTATTCTCTTCTTATTATTTGTCACTTCGCGTAGTTATGTCCGCAACGTGGAAAAGCACATTTATTTATATTGATCGTAACTTTGTCACCTTTTTATGCCTTCACCGTGGCGCTGTTGTCTCGTCCGCGTGTCCAAAGGATGTGATTGTGTTTCCGTTCAACGGTGCTTTGCGAACCTTCGAATATGAACGACGTACCGGTAAGGCGACAAATTGTCGCGAGTGTAAATAAGGCCCAACAACTATGAGCGCGAGCGCGACTACGAACGCGAGTGTCGCTAAACTGGACCTAGTGAGCGCCGAAGTTTAATTTTAGCGGCGAAAGTATTTGAATTTGCACAAATTTACCGCCACCATGATGGTCGTCGCAGAAACTACCGCCTTATTGTACGACAGTGTAGTTGCGTTCAAATTTACTACTAACGGATACAACATGGTTATGAGCACGTGTGCATATGTGCGAATGTTTTTGTGTGTGTATGTAATATCATGTGCATGCACATGAATTTATTAAAGTGTATGTGTTTATRCGCGTGTTTGCAGTGCTTCCTTTTGGGCATTTGGTCAGTTGCGCGCGCTCTTGACCAAGCTGAGCCAAGCTAAACCACACCACCGATTTTAGTGACAGCCAAAAATGTAATGATTAATAGGCGAGCGGCGCGTAACGTAAGCGTGCGACAAAGATAGCAACGTCGTAGCCAGCTGACAATCAGCAAGAAGAAGACGGTAAAGAAGGTAATCCGCTGACCGTATCGGACAATTGCGCGTCTACACGGGCACAATTTCGCTGTTGTGTCCTGTCAACCATACATTCGCACAAATGGCATATACATACATATACATCACTATGTAGATATTTACAATCACACATACCCTTATAAGGTGTGAGTATACATAATATAGCACGTGTAATTGTGTGGACCTATGTATGTATGTATGTACGTCAACCTCAATACCTCCTTTTCAAGATATAGTATATGTATGTATGAATATAAACTCATATTGGCAAAGTGGTGGTCATTGTCACAATTCTGACACTCCGCAAAGCAATCCTTTGCATTCTTCTTCCTTCTTAACGGTACCCATTGTGGCGTCAACGACGGCTGCGAGGACATAGAAGACGATTGCGATAACTGCGCTACGACTTTGACTTCGACGGAGACTGCGACTACTATGCTGTCGGACACTACGGACACATACTTAAATACCTATGGGTACATGTGCTACATATATTTGTGTACATATATATACATATGTATATGTACATATGAATGAACATCAGGCCTATTTCTTGCCTAGGCTAGCTGGGCCATCCTGAGCGGTTGGTAGGTTGAATATATGGATCAATACGTTTAGAATGCGCCTATTTAGAAAATATAAGATGTATTTTGATACATGTGTAGATGATATACATATGTATATGTACGTATTTGTGGTAGTACGTCGCACGTATACACGCATAGGACAGAGCAAACGCGGGTTTGCGTAGAGACAAGTACTGTAGTATGATGAGATTAACAACTGAACATGGTGCGATATACGAATCCGTTTTTACGTTGAACTCGTGTTTTGTCAGAGAGGAAAAGGGGGTGCGTGTTTAATAGGAAGACGACGTGGTTCAGCTTTTCGTTTGTGAGTTTGCACGCAACAGTAAAGCTGATGTACGTATGTATGTATACGTACATATGTATGTAAAACATACTCCCAACCAGGCATGCAAATGTATACGCATAATTGAGCGTTCTATTGTTAATGAATGTATGTGGGTATATGTATTTATGTATCGCGTTGCATGTATATGGCATATATGACTTGACCAAAACGGGTGAAAATCAGGAAAGAGCACAAAAGCATAATGGAAATGAATATAAAAGACAAAGGTGGACATGATTGAAAAAATGGTATAGACCAAGACGGTGACTTCTACATCAACGAACGAATGTAGAATACTTAAACATATACATATGTATGTACATATATACCCAACTAAGTATATGCAAGAACACTGAAAAACAAAAATATCACCGTTATGCATATTAGAAGAATTCTTATTTTAAAAGTTAAATTATTTCGTTAAATATGTCTTCATTAGCTTTTAATGTTTAGATTAAATACAATAAATAATTTAATGTTATCTCGAGCTGTTTCAAATTAATTGTCTCAGTTCTCGTCTAATACCTTTACCTGTTGGGTATGTGCTGTATGTGTACATTTTTATACGATTGCAAAGTTAGGTACACAYATACCAAATGCTGCATCATTTCGGTTAGGCAGAAATACATTTGAAAGCGCATATATTCAAATGCATACATGAATTTACTAAAATATAAGTCGGTTTGTAGATTTGTTTATATTATGTATATATGTATGTATGTACATATGTACATATACATAAGTAGGAACGTCTATAATTTTTGTACTACTTCTAATATCCTCACTTCTCAATAACTATTATACTTTATCATATTTTCCCCGAATCGGTTAAAACGATCATATAATAATATGTATTACATATGTATATACATACATTTGCTATGGAGTAAGACGGACATTGAAATATAAATAATTGTTTTTTTACTAAAGTAAGCAATAGTGAAAACTAGATATGTACGTCTTATTTATTAATGCCTGTATGTTTATATTCGTGATGTTGTTGCTTTCGTTTACATTCGTTTCAAGAATACAATACATTAAATAAAATTTTTGCAAAGTATTCTCATCCGGCTAGATATGCACATACATACATATACAATACATACTTAGGTATATGCTTTAGATTGGACATGTACATACATGCACGTAGATACATACATATACACATATACATATGTAGGTACATACTTTAGATTTGAAATGTGCATACATACATACACATATGTATGGCTAAGAAAAAATACATTTCCCTTTAGAAATACTTTAGTATTTTACGTGAATATGTAAGGATATCTATCCGTCAATCACACGTTTTACAAATACGATTCGCTATAATATCCCTGTTTCACATATGTATACATATATACATAAATCTTTGGTTTAAATTTCTTCAGTGGAAATATGCTCACTTCAAGATTTTATTTGGCTCAGACCTACGCCTATGTGTATATGTACATATTTATTTATTCGTGTATATAGAATAGATCCATCTAAATTTACTAGTAAGGTAGGTTTCTTGAAGAGACTGGCTATGTAAATATGCATATACGTACCCATTTGCATTGAAATGGCAAGAACACATTTAGCGTCTTCGCCGGACAGCGGCTTTTCATTCTGGCCAACTGGCAACTTACCGATGTTAATATCACGCTCCTTTCCTTATTGCTTTAATAGAAACTCAAACCTGTTCAAAAATGCTGAACGGCTCTTTGTTTTGTTCTTGTGGTTATACTATGCAACTTAGTTGTTGTGATTTATCTGACTTTTGTTTTGCTCACACTTTCGTATAGAGTCCTATTTGCTGCTATTCATAAAGATGTTCGCTCTCTTTGCGCTCTGACGATATGCATAAGCATGTGGAAAGTAGCGTCTGCATCCCTGATAGTGCTTCTTCGGTTCAATCTTCGTTTACTGAATGCTTGCAGGCGTCATTGGGATTTCAATTGATAATGTCGTGAATTTTTTTGTTGTTTCGTAAAATTGAACAGTTAGTTTGTTGACTGTTTAACGCATGTAACACCCAAATCTGAATATGCATATGTATATACATGGGTAATAAATGGGAAACGTATGTATATGTACCTATGAATTGTATCTAATAGGAAGTATTCAGCACCCAAACTTTTGGCAAAGACATTTGAAAACCATGTTTAAAAATAATCTGCAAAGAAAAACTAAAAAATGTAGCTACAGAGCATTAAGCTTTGTTTAACTAATTATTAAATGATCACCTAAAGCTAAATTAGTACTTCGTCGAATTACGAAATTTCCTAGATATGGTTTCCACCAAAAGCCTGCATTTCTCGATGAAAATGGTCTTCCATTGTTTATTCACTCCATAATTGCTTCGTATTTCATGAGTTCTCCTTCCCTAGAGCCTCTTGACCTCTGCCCGAAGATACTCAATTCGATTAACGTTAGGTGAGGGAGTCGACCAGCCCATAAATTCAAATTGAAACCGAAACAAGCCCAAATTAAAGTAAAGTATTCTCAAAACATGTTAYAACAGATTACACTTATGCTTACTAAAAACATAAAAACAAATAAAATTGAAGAAAATTCGAACGAACGAAAAATTCCGAAAAAAATTTATGAAAGTATAGTGGTAAGCTTTGCGTGGACACGAGTGTAATTTTGATTACCTTTTGTAACACCTGTCACATAACACAGGATATCATGCGTTTGCAAAAAATTTTCACCTTGTTTTAGCTAGCCAACTTCGTCATTCTATCTTATCCTTCATTGATCAGACCCGATTCTGACTAAGTCGAAAATTTTTCGGAAATTGTTCCAAGATTTCAACTCAATGGCACAAGACTGGTCGTACCACGGTCCAATACCGTGCTGTGAATAACCATGACGTTGCCTGTTTGTAACCAAGATATAAGAATGAGCCTTATACACATATTTTCCAAATTTAAGTGTTTTTGCTAGACAAGGTGTTTTTCAAAGTAAACAGGACTTAAAAAAAAGGACAAATGTTTTTTTTTTTGTAAAATAAATTTATTTTATTGAAAATAGTCTCCTTCTGCTTCTATTCAGCTTTTTGCACGGTCCAAAAGCATGTYGAACGAGTGTTTTAGTTCGTTGGCCGGTATGGCTGCCATTATGCCGGTGCAAGCCTTTTGAATGGCCTCTACGTCTGCATATCAGGTGATAGCATAGGACACAAAGTTACGACAACCGTTGAGGTCATAAAAGTAATTTCAACATACCTACAGTGAAACGAATTAAAACAAAAAAACATTTTTTATATTTTCTACGATTTTAATAGAGTATAATAGTTTCGTTCACTTAACGGTTGTATATATAACCTAAACCTAAACGAGATAGATATAAATGATCACGATGACAGGCACCGTTTATTTTTTTGTGAAGTTCTATACCTAGGGATAATTAATACGAGTATAACAGTATAAAACTTTGCACGAAACATACATTTAGTGTATGCCACCTTTTGATTAAAAATTGTTCAAATCTAACAAGAACCGTTCAAGCCCTATATCTGTGCGTCAAAAATGGGTTGAATCGGGCAATACAATTCTTCGCGCCGTTATAACTAATGTAAATATTTTCGATTTTTCGGGTGACTTTATATTGCATATATCGGCTATTATGTGAGTTATCTCAATGAAAACAAGAAAAAAGTTAACTTCGGCTGCAGTGAAGCTAATATACCCTCCACAGCTGCATTTTTTTAATAACTATGAATTCCGTTTGTATGGAAGCTATACGCTATAGTAATCCGATCTGAACAAGTTTTTCGGAGATTATATTATCACCTTAAGCAGTAATCCCTGTCAAATTTCGTGGAGATACCAATTCAAATACAAAGGTTTTTCTTACAAGCTGTTGATTCTGATCGTTCGGTTTGTATGGCAGCTAGATGCTATAGTAAGCCGATTTGAACAATTTCTTCCGATATTACATATTTACATATATACAGAGAGACATGGCTAAATCGACTCAGCTCAACATAGTGATCGTTTATGTACTTTATAGGGTCTCCGACGCTTCTTTCTGGGTGTTACAAAATTCATGACAAACTTAATATAACCTGTTAAGGGTGTAATGAGAGAGCGTGTTCTGCTCATAACAGTGTATCTTTGTTGTTAAATTTGATAAAATTGATCTAGCCAGAATATAACTAATATAAAGATTTTTGATAATCCGGCTGACTTTGCTCTATATTATTTATTTTTTAGTATGTGGCAAGTTAATAGTATGTGATTGATATAAATAAAACCGGGTCAGTGTATGAGTTATATAGAGTATATGTA